CCCGCGGCAGCGGGTCCCGCCACACGGGGGCATTTCCCGCCGAGACCCCGCGAAGCTCCGCTCCCGTGGCCGCGCAGCTCAGCAAGCGACTGGCTCCTCCGCACCCCTCCCTTATCCCTACAGCCTAATTACAAGCGGATGAGCCTTCCTCTCTTTCTCCGTTCAAATGCAAATGGCCCCAGCACCTGCCGGTTGTTGCTGCTAAGTACCACCCGCCCCCCTCCTCCCCCCCGCCGAGTTCACAGCACGGCGGAGGTCGGGGGGAGCCTCTGGAGACGGGCTAGCCCGAGCCCTTGCGCGGGTTCCGGAGGTGTTTTACGGGCTCAGTCGGCTCTGAGGTTCTTTCTTTTAATTTAAACCCCAATGATTCACTAGAGGAGCTCCCTCCAAAGCGGTTTTTCAAGTTTGTAACAAGACATCCGTGAATGTCGGTCTCCCGGTAAGCAGGACTTGCTTTGAAAACTTCGCTGCAAGCGTGTTACGGGTGCGGAACTGTCGTTTGTGCCAGAGTGGTTGGACGGTTTAGAATTGAAACCTGAGAGGTACCGGTGGAGTTATTCTAAGTTGCTCTCAATTCTCTTTCCAGGTCATCCTCGCTTTTTCAATCAGCTGTCCACAGGGCTGGACATCATTGGCTTGGCTGGGGAGTGGCTGACGTCAACTGCTAATACAAACATGTAAGCAGTGTCTCGTCGTCAGCGCGTGTGACTGGTGCTTAGAGGGGCTGCCATCTATCATGGTAGACATGTATTGTCATAGACGTGTATAATTTTCTTCTTTCAATGCCGATAGTTGCGTCTTCAATAAAATCGTCTCGTATTTTTCTTAATGTGGCAGTAATACAGTGAAAATAGTTTTATAAAGCTGAACAGTTTTACACTTCTGATAAATAGAAATGCAAATGTCTCAGAGCACGTGGTAAGTAAAACATGCTGATTCTAATATCATATGAAATTATTTTTCTTCTTTATCTTTTCCCGAGGTTTTTTTTAAGCTTTGTCTCCAGACTGAGTAATTCTCCAGCTATCCATATATTAACACTATGTGTAATGTGTAATATATTAACACAAAATGTGTAATATATTAACACAAAATGTGTAAAACTTTATTGTCTTTTCTCCTGTGGACTTCAGAGGTAGCAGGCTCGGGGCACCACTTTCTCCTTTTCATGTGCTGGTGAAGAAGTGGCTTCTGGGTGTCTTCAAAATGATTAAAAATGTAACACTGAAAATTAATTTGATGCTAATGAAGGAATTAGTCTAAGATTTATTAAAGTTTTGTGTAAATAAATAAATGGAAGTATAAAAAAAGTAAAATTTTACATATAGAACATATCAGTGAGGAAACTTTTCCTAATTTGTCTTGACCTCAAAATTAATGAAAGCTAAATGTAAGATATTATGTTGCATTTTTGCAATAAAGAGTGTAATTTAATGAAAAAAACCCCCACCAAACCAAAAAACTTTCTAGCCAGTTTTTATTTATTGATTGATTTGTCTATGCTCAAAAATGTGATTGGAGTCCAAATACTTGGCAGGTAACAGACTGCCTTCTGTTTTAGTCCTGTATTGGATGTGTTTTAACTCTAAAGCTACCTCTGTTTTGGGTAGTTTGTTGCTAATTGGCAAAACACAGGAAATGTGTCTGCAGCTTGGAAAATGAACAATATTTTCACTGGCCTATCCATAAGTAAAGGGTTTATTAAGTATAGCTGATTACTGGTAGCTCTACGTAGACTACGAGCTGTGCCTGTTTTGTGAAATTAACAATAAAGAAAAATATATAAGGTGCTCCAGCCAAAACCATCCTGCTCTTTGTAATAATCATCTTCTCAATTAGTTCTCTGTTTGCTAAAAGTTGGTATGAGACATTCAGATTTAAAAGCTGATTGGGAAGAAAACCCAGCAACATATATTTTAATTGTAAAACACGTATTGCAAAGTGCCTTTTTTTTTTTTTATACCACAATTAAAAGTGAAAACAAATCTGATGACATTCCTAAAAGAAAATTTTGCTTATTGTTCCTCTGTGACAAAACCATACTTCAGAGCGTGTTACTTTTTGCAAGCCCCTTTTCCTTTAACTAACTTAGTTACCCTAGCTTAGTTATCCTTTTGTAATCAGTGAAATTGCACAAATCTGATAGGCCATAATAGAATTCAGCTCTGTGGCAGACTGTGATAGTATTATGAAATATTGCCATCATTATTAAGAACATCGCACTCGCTCAGTTCTGAAAGAGTAACTCTTTTTTTTTAATGAGGTTGCTTTTGCCTTTGTCTGGTTTTAAAAGTAAATTATTAAATAGCTAGTTCTGTAAAGCTAGTTTCTGATCCATTTATACTTTAAACGAGAACATACCTTGAAAATACTTGTCTGCGAGCATGAAAATTGAGTATGTTTGCTTGTATGAGGTTTAGCAAATGCAAAATAATACATTGCTCTCTTTTTTTTCAGCAAACCAAGGTCAACATGATATGCTTTCAAATAACACAGTAATTGCAAGTAAGGTTAAAGCAAGATGTTTGTAAAATATGATTCAAAGAGCTGACAGAGAAGGTTATTAAAAATAGCCAAATCGTCTCTGTGAGCTCTGGGGAACATACTTGTTTTGAGCAGTGTTCCAGCACAGAAGAGCAGGTTCTGACCTTTACCTAGAAACTGTTCTAACCTATTTCAGCTACGCAAGCATGTAACACACAAGCGACAGTAACACTGGATTATGGTAGGGAATGTTTTCCATTTGCCATTTTTTCTTTTCCATCTATAAACAATACTTAAAATATTTGTGAACAATTAAAAAATGTGTTTTCTTTCACAAATGAGTTTTGAGTAATCAAAACATCTGTACTCTTAAAATTTTGACTTGTCATTAGGAAATGTTACTTAAATGTCACTGTGAAGATAATATATTAAATTAAACATAATAAGCTTCCCACATTGACTTGGAAATAATGTATCAATGTGCTATTCATAGTTCAATCACTAATTGTAAGACCGTCAAGGTGGAAATTTCAGAAGTTGCCATTATTCATCCAGCGCTAGGGATCTGTAGTGCAGGGCGTTCGCTCACTATGCAGCAGCCAGCTGAGGTTAGGAAGCAATAATATTATCCGGAAATGCTTTTTATGCCCACTATTAGCTGAGACGAGAGAATTATATTGGTATTTTCAGCATTATGCATTTATGCTTATGAAAATGTAACATAGAAAAATGATGTAAAATGCTTTATGTTTATTCTCAGAATGCTTTTTACATACTGGCAAACAGGAGAACAGGTAGTTAGAATGATTTGGCCTGATAAAATGATTTGGCCTTTAGGTGAGAGCAGAATTAAACCAGCACTGGCCACTACCAAAAACCCCATTCATTTATTCTGTTCAGTAAAGAGTCTGAGACTCATGACTGTTTTAGTTAATTCATAGAAATACCTGTAAAGGTTGTAACTGTACGAAAAATCTAATCAGCGTTTTTTGTCAGAAGATTGGTTCTAAGGTCGGACAGTTCCTTCCAAGCCAAACACATTTTCCGTGTTTTAACTGAATTTTTCAAAATCATTTAAGTTTAAAACAAATAAGTGAACTTTAGCAAGATGTGATTTTTAAAGTCTAATATAGTAGCATTGGCCTTATCATTTATAATCATCTGCAGTCTTCTTTTGTTTCTTTGTCAGTCTTTGGAGACTCAGAAAATAATTACATAATAAAATAAATAAATCCTGTTTTACTTGGGTTTAAGGATATTCACAATTCCCCTTGTGAACACTTGATATTTTATATACAAAAAACTTGCTTAACAATATGTATTTTTTGTACAAGCCTCTAAGTCTTCCAGGAATTATGTAGGGATCAATGTAAAAGGTCTCAGGACAAAATTCAAAATGTGTTTAAACTGATGGAAAAAATCACATTGACTTAAACATACCTTGTATTAGGCTACAGTGATCTATACACTGCTGAGTTCCTGTTGACTTCAGTTGGTCATTCTGCCTAAATAAAGATTGGAATATATCCTAGACTTGCAGTGCTTAAAAACAAAACAACCCCCCCCACACTGTTAGCAGACAACAACTGGTTTATTAATTTTGTCTCTCTGTAAATATTGGCAGCACCCAAACTTCAGATCAGTGTTCAGCTGTCTGTCTCTGACAGTTCTAATGTAATAAGTGCAAAATAAGCAGTATTTTGGCTTCTGAAAATAGCAATTACAACAATTAAATTACAAATGCTCTTTAATCTTAAAGGAATGTTTTAAAAATACTGGTGGTGTTTCTCTGATGGACTAAGGACACATAAGGATTGTAGAAAAAAATTAATATTTTGACTAACCAGTATAGCTGTAAATAAAAGACAAGCTTTTCAGACACACGTTCCCTTCTTCACACCGCATGTCTCCTTAAAGTTTGCCATACCTATTCTCAAAATGTCATTTTAGTATTAGAGAGACAACACATACATTTTGGCGAAGTTATTCAAGTGGAAGACATCAGTCGGATCCAAAGTGTCAGGGTGTCATGTTCTTATAGATTCCTTTGGAAATCACGAGTTGATTTTTTAGTTTCTTTCTGCTTCCTTTTTTCCCCTCCTTTTTTACTTTTTTTTTTTTTGGCATACACAGCAAGCAGAGTTTGTTTACAGCAGTAGCAATTTATCCATGTACCTTGATCACCAAAAATGGTTGTATGGCTGTCGCTTTCCATCCACATATCTGTCTGTGACATCAGGGCATACCAGACTATGCAATGTTTTTTGCCCTCATTAAGTGGATACAATAGTTGACTGCTGACTTGTTTTTTGTAATTGGTAATTAGAAAATCATCATTTATAATTACTCTTGACAGTTATTGATCGCATGGTGTTGTAGAAATAAGTTGTCCTTGGAGATCATCAACAGAATAAATCCACATAATTAATTGTACGTAGACTTTGAAGCCCTGGCTCAATACTTCTAATTATGGTCGTGTTTAGCTCAGTGAAGTTCACTGTTTTCGTAAGGATTTGGCTATATGCTATTCCACAAGTGTGGAATTGGCACTTTGGGAAACAAATGTTTTACAGTACAATCATGTGCAGCAGTATCTTGTACGGCAGTCAGCAGCACTATGATGGTGAGCATTAGGTCTTATGTTGGTTATATAGAAAGTTGCAAAAGAGCTAATACTGCAGTTTTTATCGACCAATATTTCCAGTATTGTCTTCCTGAGGATTTTTGCTTGGGTAAAGGTTGCAATATCGGAACCTCAATTTATAGGATCACTTTTAGGAATCTTAAGCATTTTCACAAAGAATCATAGACTCGGAATTTATTGTGTATTTTTAGAATCTGTATTTGATCTTGTTTGGTTTTGTTTGCTTTATCCATGCAGGTTTACTTATGAAATTGCCCCTGTTTTTGTCCTCATGGAACAAATAACACTTCAAAAGATGAGAGAGATTATTGGATGGTCAAATAAAGATGGTGATGGAATATTCTCACCTGGTGAGTTTTTCCTTTCTGTTTTGGTGGTTTGACTAAAGCTTCAGAAGTTAAAATAAACATAAGACGTGTCTGAATGCCCACAATATCTGCAACACAAAACAATGCATCAGATATTTAGAAGTAGGAATTTCCCACCTGAAGTACGTGCTTTGTTTAAGCATCCCACAGAAAAGTTGGGGGGGGGGAATCTTTGAGTATGGCTATATATCATGGCTGGCCAATGTTTTACAACTTGACTGCAAGCTCTGGTACATAGTTAGGCACACTTTTTTTGCGCTTCATTTCTGGAGGTGCTGAGCAACTATAACTCCCACTGCCCAATAGCCCTAGAGAATCATGTACTGACTTCTTTGATGGTCAGTGAGGATTTGGGCTTATAGTCAGAAAAACACTGTGACTGCCTGTCACTTTCTGGGAGTTATTATCTGGGACATAATCTGTCTGGATTCACAAGTATGACTCTGAAGACTAAGACAAAGTATCTTCCCATGAAGGTCATATGAAGACAGTCAGCAGTGGCAGAAAAGACTGGTAAACCATGTGGAGGTCCTGGGCCCATGTGTGGACAATGGTGGTGCCCAGCAGAACTCCAGACTTCTGGGTTTGGGGTGAGGGAGACACCATCCTGTTTTAGAGAACGAAGGACAATTCCACCTCCTTTTGGAACAGCCTGCATAAAATCCAGGAATGCACACTTGCTTGGTCTCCAGTCCCATCTGCTAGCAAAATACAGATCTTTCTCAGTGTTCTTGCTATTGAAGAAATATTAGAGGAATAAGTTATCCTAGACTTTATGGATGAGATTCAAATTACTAAATCTTGAGGTTTGCATCGTAGAACTGAGCTAATTGTCCTGGGCTGTTTTTAGCAGTAAACCAAAAGAAATAGGTGTTTTCCCTCAATTCACATTCTTCAAAAGTAAGTGTCAAAATAAATTGGTCGAATCATAGTTTGCAAAGTGCCTCTTTCCCTTAACTGACTATAAGGAAGCTTAGAATAACTAGCTCAGCTGTAGAAATCTACCTTTTAGGCATCTACTTCTATATCTACAGTGAGATGGGATAAATCCATCCAGTATGTGACATTTCTTCAGTCTCGGACAATTTGATAAGTTCCTGTTATTCTTGCTAACAAGAAGTTGTCATGCAAAAGCAGCACGATGAAAGTTGAATTTTTAGGAACGTGTTACAAAATGTTAGCAATTGAAAGAGATGATGGATAGGAAATTCTAACTATCAGTATGACTTTCTAGAGGGTCTGTCCCTGTGCTGTTTAGACAGATGACCATGCATTTCAGAGATTTACTTTTGCATAGTTTACTGCCACTTTCACTGCATAATTCAAATGAGACTTGTATGTCTTTAGTCCAATATGCATTTTTTTCTCATTATCACTATTTTATTATTCATTCACTTATTCATTCACAGGAGGAGCTATCTCCAACATGTACAGCATAATGGCTGCACGCTACAAGTATTTCCCTGAAGTCAAAACCAAAGGCATGGCTGCAGTCCCTAAACTGGTTCTCTTTACCTCGGAACATGTGAGCTTGATACGCTGCTAATTCTTAATTTATTGATGTATGTTGTGAAGATGCTTCATCGTTAAACAACCACTCAATTAAATGTGCATGTTTTGCTGCAGAGTCACTACTCAATAAAGAAAGCTGGAGCTGCACTTGGATTTGGAACAGACAATGTGATTTTGATAAAATGCAATGAAAGGTAGGATGAATGCTAAGGTTTTGATATGTTAAATGTCTTCATCTGTTAAATTTGTTGTATTGTGATTAAGGACTGGTTCAGTACAGTGTGTCAAGTTGCTAATGGTCTGTTGAGAAAATCCTATTAAATTGTTTCAACTGTAGCTAGTGTTTCCATATGCATTCTTTAATTTTCTTTGTCTTTCTGTTTCTACAATAATTACAGAGGCAAAATAATACCAGCTGATTTGGAGGCAAAAATTTTGGAAGCAAAACAGAAGGTTTGTGTTTTTGAAAATTAGTGCTTAAATGCTCGGCTTAGTAAAATTATCTTTTCCTTTGAAGGCTGAGGGTTAACATTAAAAGAGAACATTATGATATAAATGTTATAATAATATTTTCAGCTGTTTAATTATACATTCATGCATTGTTTAGGGAATTATCTATATGTCTTGCTAAGGTTTCCATTTACTGTTTAAAAACAAAGTATTTTTAACTCTTGAACCACATCTGTATTTTATGACTTTTAAAAATAACTTTCTGTTTGGAAATATATGGAAAAAAGTATGAAAGCATGAAACTAAACCTGCTTTTATCCAGACTTTAAAGTTTAGCCAAAACCATCAAAAATTCTATTGAAGTCCTAAAAATTCCCATAGATTTCAAGTGTGAGGCTGCAGGGTTAGTAAGTATAGCCAGTAAGTTTAAATTTTTGAGGCATTCATCGTTGTTTCTTGAATCAATGTGATGAAAAATCCATTAATTTTGTATAAAACCACCAAAGGTAGAGCAATCAAGATCGTTATTTTTTTCTTTCTTAACTTCTTTACATTTGGGCACTCTATGAAATTACAGTTCACATTTATTTCATCTAACTCAAAACTGTCTCACTTTGATCTGCTAGTTCCACATTTATTGCTCTTGTTTTGGATTGCTTTGTTCTGCTTTGTTCTGTTTATTAGTAGATAAAGACTAAAGGAACAACTTCAAGCCTTCAAATCACAACTTACAAATCACATTTAATTAATTTTCCTTTATACTGCTGTAAAAGTCTCAACTTTACTTGACTATTGCTAGTCTTCTACTAGAACGTTTGAATCTCCTCACTGAAAGAGATTAGACAAAATAATATTCTGTACCTTCTGACTAGTTAATTTTGTGAAGTTACAGTACAATAAAAACAGAGTTTGTTCCTACCACGTATATAATTTGTTAGTTTCTACTGTTGCTTATATGTACCTTTCACATGGGAAGAAAAACATTTTTAGGCTGGAAAATGGGATAGCAACATTTCTAAAATGATTTTCACTTTTTTTTTTTCCCCTGAAAGAGGTTGGATTTTGTATTTAATATTTTTATTTTTATTGTAGGGATACATTCCTCTTTTTGTAAATGCAACTGCAGGCACAACAGTATATGGAGCCTTTGATCCAATACAGGAGATTGCAGATATATGTGAAAAATATAACCTCTGGCTCCATGTAGATGTAAGTAACTAAATGAAGTGCTATTATTCAGGCAAAAGTGTTTTGTTTACATGTGTTTTGTCTTGAATTAAAATATTTATTACGAGGTCCTGAGTAAACTAAAATATGTTAGGCTTTTCCAAAACAATGAGTCTTCTCTTTTTTCTATCTCTTCCAGGCTGCCTGGGGAGGTGGACTCTTAATGTCCCGAAAGCATCGTCATAAACTGAATGGAATAGAAAGGTACTACATGGTGCTTATTTGTAATACTGTTATTTAAATACTTTCATAAGGTATGTGACACTTCACAAATTCATGAAAAGATGAATTTTCTGCAATAAGGAGTTTAAACACTAAATTAAACAAAAGGAAGACAGGAAAGGTTCACACTAGGAAGACTGAAACAATACTACAGAAGAAAACAGTGATGTACAGCTGAGCGAAAGGTAAGTTTTCGGCAGATTTGAAGGAGGACAAGGGTATTGCTTGGCAAAAAGGAAGGGAGATTGTTCTATGCATAGCTTTGAAGGGATCATAAGTCTGGGAGTGGGTGAAGGAGGATTTGAGGAAAAAATGAAGTGTGAGGGCTAGACAATCTCTGAAATGTAGGGCTTTGAGAATAGCAGTGAGGAATGAGGAATCCAGAGAAGGTGTTTGAGCATGAATACCTATGATGGGAAGCCGTGACATGGTGGGAATTTGTAGAGATTCTCTCCTGAAAGGTGTTTGCAGTTATTTCCAGAAAATAAAGAGCATATGTTCTGCCTGAAAATGAGTGTTCTGTAAATGAAAGTTTATAATATATATATGCTTGCTTTTGTCTTACTTTTGTCTTACTTTTATGTATATATACACATAAATATATATGTGTATACAACACGTGATAGAGACTGAATTAGCAGCAATTTTTAGGGGCAAATTTCAGTGCCTTTAAGGCTGGAAAGGGCTATGATAGCACAGAGCTAGCACAGTTCTACAGTGCCAGACAGAAGACTGAGGGAACTTACAGGGAGGCCAGAAAGAGTCACAGATACTCACCGCGTCTCAGGGTAAAGGGGCCTATGAGTTGGTGCCATGGGGGGATTACATGAAACAAGCAGGAAGCTCTTGTATAGGCCAGAGTGCAGTCTGCAGAAAAGAGAGTGCATGTGTGCCCCCAAGCACATAACCCAGGTTACCAAGATGCCCGCTGAGACCAGAAGCCAGCCTTTATTAAACAAATAATTGAACCAAATTTAAAAAGGCAAAGCATTTGTGTTGGAAGTGATAGCAGAGTGAGAGTGTGACTCTGCCCCCAGCCCTTACAATTCAGAGCCAGGAGGAGTCCCATGTGTAGTCTTTGGTGCAGTTGTTCCCATATCCAATGATGACAAGGCTGTAGTCTGTAGGAGATGCTATGTTTATAACTCCCTGTGTGTGTTTGTCTCTAGATTTCCTCTGAAACTGCTCTATCGTAAAAGGCTGCCTGTCTGAATAAAAATCAGAAAAACAATGAAGAATCAGAAACATAAGATCTTTGCCATCATTGCAGATTACAGCTTCCAGAGAAGCAAAAAAATTTGAGACAAGCTCTACCCACGTACTCTTAGATTAGCATCAAATTGCTTCCTTGAGTCAACCGTGCTGAATGTGGGCACTGTGTAAAGGTGTAAAATGGGAGCAGTGAGCAATGCTCTTCCTTAGGGAAGACAAACTTTCCTAGTGGTGGGCATCTCATACAGTAAGTGAAGAACAAGTACAAGATAAAGAATAATGTACAGAAAGACTGGTAGGAAAACCATGTGCACCCTTCTGTTGCAGGGACAGCAGCGTGCGGCGTGGCAGGAGTACTCTGAAGTAGCAGAATCATATCAACCTCTGCCCAATACAATTTGCTAGTCACTCGTGTTATGGCAACATGTCTAATATGAGGTCAGCATTGTAAAGTACTTTCCTTAAGCTACGCAGGTTTGGTCACAGTAGTTTGGCACACCTCTCTTGACCTGAGGTCAGCCCAGAGGTGCTAATTAAGACCGTAATCTTAAGCAAATACAGAAAACAGCAGGCCACGAAGCGTGATATTATTTCTTTTGTAGTCAGCTGTATGGATCTTCAAACATGGGACGAGGCCCACGTGTGCTGCGTAATTGCCTGTCATGGGCCCCAGCTGGGGTCTATTGCTAACACTCAGGCCAGATTTGGCCTGCCCGGAGACATGGGGGTGTGAGGACTGGCATGCTGCCACGGTACAGAGCTGGGATTGCCTGTGGTAGGATAGCCTCCAGCTGGCTGGTTGTGCAGGGTGGAGAGTCACCTCTTCATGTTAAAATAAACCTGATGCTCCTTGCAAAAACGACTTGAAATTGTCTTTGGAACCCTGAAAGTTGAATAAATGTGCTAAACTGAAACCACAGTGCTCTCAAAAGGAAATGAGCTGTTATGTAAGTTCCTGTTTCTTGACTACTCCATCTGAACTATTAGTGAAGCTTTTTAAAAGATAATTGCCTCCTAAGTCTGAGCTATATACCTGCTGGTTTGCACTGCTAAAGCAGGAGATTTTAGAGGGATGGTGGGTGAGCTCCCCAGGTACAGCACAGGCTGCGCTGTTCTTTTGGCTGAGGGGTGCTATGGTCTAGCCTAGCACAGACAGAGGTTGGAATTGTATCTGGAATCTTTATGGAATTAGTGGTCCTCAAACTGGGGTGAAGGAGTCATTGTGTTGCTCAAAACAGAGGAACTGTGGTTGTGTCTGTGTCCTCTGAGAGCAGGGTGTAGAAGAGGCAGAAATATCTTTGAATTTTCTTCCAACCACATTTTAAGAACACATGCATAGTCTGTGAAATATGATTATACACTTTCCTTCTCTGGAACATACAGTGAATCAAGGGGACATTTGGTAATAAATTACTTAGGGTGAAGAGGTCAATGGATGTACAATGCTGGCACATTTATTTTAGCATCATCATTAAACTGTCTAGGATAGCATGTTAAAAATACAGAACATGTCATCTGTTTGGCTAGTAAATCAGGTGATCTTGTGCATCCACCTGTGTTTACACATAAAAAGTTTTAAGCTTTACATACAGAATGGTAGGATTGCGATGTAAAGTTTTGTAGCCTTTTAACAGTCCACGGGCTTGACAAGCTGGTACAGAAAAGGCCTCTTGTGGCTTTCGCTGGAAAAACAGGTAAGCATGAGGAATGTCTTTTCCTTTGCTTTCTACTTTTCCAGCAGCTGTTCAGTAAAGAACTGTATTCTCTCAGAATTCATATTATTCCCTTAATTCTCTGACACTCCCCTCCCCCAATCAGTACCTCGAATTGATATAACCTGTCAAACTGTTTTTGTTAGTTTTATTAGTGCTGTTTCTAGAATTGGAGTCTTCTGGGGATGAAGTTATTATATCAGCTAATCAGCATAGTCTGACACTAATTAGCTGGTATTAGTAATAATATAAACTAATCAGAAGTCTGACATTGCAATGTTAACGCACGAAAAATTCCTTTCCTGGACAGTATAGCTGGAAACGAAGACACTTGAGATAGTAATAATCTCCATAGTGAAATCATCATGGTCAAAACTCCATACATTTCCAGCTGAAAGCAGAAAACAAAGGTGACTGCTTCAGGTTAAGTTTCTGTTTTCCAGACCTGTCTGAATGTGTAATTTTTTTGCAGAGCCAACTCAGTCACTTGGAATCCACACAAGATGATGGGAGTGTTGTTACAGTGTTCTGCCATTCTTGTCCGGGAGAAGGTCTGCCTTATATTTAATAATTAAGCAGTTAAAAAAAAAGTAAATATCAAGCCCTACTTTTTAAGAGGGTAGTGCAAAATCCATTTAATTTCAAAATTCTGTTTGGAAGGAATAATTGTGTGGATTTACATTGTGTTTAGGAAGTTGTTTTATCTTTTCTGGTTATTTATTTTTGGTTTTTTTTTTTGTTAAAGCTGTAGATAATATGTGTCAGATCTTTAGCTGCTGAATCTTTGCATATTCTAATAACAACACTAGAGCCATGCTAACATACTTCATCTGAGCATCTGCCCTGTTGTTTCTATGATATACTGAACATACACCCTTGGTCTGAGTAATTGGTCACAGTCTAAACTGCTTAAATAAAAAGCAACTTTTTTTACCTTACACAGTGGTTTAAAAGTTTCTCAATTCTGTTGAAAAGAAACCATGCTGCTTTTATTGTGACTCCATATGTATTTTTAGGGCTTTCTTCTAGATTCTTCGTTGTCATCAATGAAAGCAAGACCAGTGTCCTAATTCTTTTAAGCAATATGTATTTTCCTTAGATGATTGAAAAAAAAAAAAAAGTCATGTCATCTGTGGATAGGACTAATTCTGTTGTCTACTAATTTCTGGCATGGCAAATGCTACTAGAAGAGATTAGTTGAAGAAGTGGTCCCTGTGCGTAGAACTGGGATGAAGGAGTTGTGGGTTCCAGCCCCAGGTCTGCCATTGCTCTTCCAGGTGACCCATCTCTAAACTGAAAACTGCAGCATTTATTTCCCTTTATAAAACACTTTGACATCTATTGGAGGGAAGCACTAGCCATTATTTAGTGGCGTGCATGCTTAGTTAGCAATACGCTAACTATTGCAGGATTTTGGCAAAATTTTTTATTCTCTATATGGGAACTTTGATAGTGTTTTTGTATTTATCAGATACACCAGTGTCTTTGAGCGTCTTCAAAGAGACACTAATAAACTCTAAAGGAGATGCTAACCATTTTAGTAATGTCACATGTGTAAGACTTCTGTGTAACATACAGGAATTTGCTCCTCTATATTTCCTTCAGAGGTGTTTGCCAGTAATGTTTAGGTTTCTATTGGTCTGTGGACCATATTTATCTGTAAACAAAAAATGGCTGGCTTACGTCATTTGTACTTATCACTAACGTTAAGTGTCATAAAGGTGGACAATATATAAAGTCGAAGCCTTCAATTACTCTTTTTTCTTCATTTTCTGTAGCTATCTGCTGCACTGAGAGACCTCAGCTTTATTCTAGTGTGTAATGTAACATCAAAAATTTAAGTCTTAAGAACATAGCCTTACAAAGTGAAGTGGACAAAGTTAGTATCAAAAACTAGGAATCCAAATTAATCTGAGAATGTTTTTTCAGGTGTGTGTGTGTGGGTGTGTAAAACCATATGACTACTCAGTGACTTCTAAGAGAACCACTTTAGGTTATGAAATTATTTTTGTGGCTCAGGTTTACAAAACAAGGTCAGTATTTTATAATTTGGCCCGTTAAAGAACAATTCTTCTGTATATATTTGAAATACATTTTTAGTATATTATTAATGCATACAGTTTCATACGCACATATGCCATATAAGTCATATAAGTACATGTTTTTCATGACAGGGTATACTTCAAGGCTGCAATCAAATGTGTGCAGGCTATCTCTTCCAGCAAGACAAACAGTATGACGTAACCTATGACACTGGAGATAAGGCAATACAGTGTGGTCGACATGTGGACATTTTCAAATTCTGGTTGATGTGGAAGGCAAAGGTAAATAATAAAAGTTCAGCTAAAAAATCAGAAATGTATTTATTTAATATATGCCTCATGTAACGGAACACTTTTTTTAACATAAATGTTTGTGTAATTACAATCTCTAAATACACAGGTATCCGAGTATTAAGTCAGAAAAGAGCCATTTAAATTGTAGAACAATGTTAGCCATCAAGAAATTCAGCTGGAAATTAGAAGAAAGGTTTAAGTCACTAGATGAGTCCTACAGTAAAACCACTGAGGGCAGGACACTGAAATGCTCTTTTGTTGTGATTCTGTACACTTACGTATGTATTTTATTACAGATTACTTGTAGTAGCAGCAGAGTAGACTTGATGACTTACAAGGTCCTTTGAGCATCACATTTCTATGCATGGATTTTATAAGCAACTTTGAAAACACAGCCTTTTTCTTAAGAAGCTTTGCCTAACTATTGATTTTAACAGTTGATTCCCTGGTACTACTGTGGTATGCCTGGATGGCTGAATTTAAGCACAGACTTATGTACAGGCTTACATGTTTACAAGATGAGCGTCCATGTAGTCAGGAAAACACATTTCATTTTTATTTCTTTATCTGCAGTCATCTTATTACTATTCTTCTTGCTCTTCTGCTGACAAAATGGGAACTCAGTTGGGTAACCAGTCCACAGTCTAATCTTTTTTTATAAAGCTGAGACTAAATCTAATGGCAAAATGTACAATCATAAAACAGTTTTCACTTCGGGTGAGAGTTAGACAGCAATAGTAAATAACCTGTGATGGTAAAAGGTGTTTTCATGCAGATTTCCTCAATATTGAAGACTGAGGGAAGAGAGTAAAAGAAGTTCAGATATACAGTTACTTTTAAACAGACTGTAGAGTTGTCATTGTTTATTTTTAAAAGTAATTCAGAAACAGAAACACAACACTTCAACACAAAATACTTATAACAATTACTTTAGTAATCTGCATAGGTTTGATTACCAAGCTAAGTACATTTCAGTTCAGACTCAATTCTTCCTCCAAAATAAATAATTTTGGTACTGTAATCCAGTAACATGAAACTGCTTATGACACATTAGAAGTGGACTGTGACTAGCAACTTTGAAGTGTGGTGTTTATGGTTCTAATTACCAAGTGCTGACTACAGACACCATCAAAGCACGGACTGAACGTTTTTCTAAATACCAGCCAAACACATTTTGTTAAAACAAGCATGCTGATTCTGTCTGTGCTGTTATATTCACCTGTTAAACTGGCTTCACTAAAGAAGTAGAGGACTTCACAATAAAGAAAAAAAATTACAGTGGAAACAATAATGGATGTGGGTCACATTTAAAATTCAGAAGTAGGATATCTGTGGATGTGATTCTTTAAAAATAATATACATTAAAATTGCTAAGTTGATGTGTATATCTGGAATTTAAATTTCTCCAGAAATCAGTTTCTTTGGATTTGTTTGGTCTTGAGACAGATTCAGATTTCTTGGACCTGAGTTCTCTGAGGTATTGGATAGAACCTGTTTCTAGCAGATTGCATGATTATGTTACTAAAATGTTAAGAAAACAAAACGTTAGGAGCTATGGAAATTTTTCCGTCAGCATTAGCCACCATGAGTGATCATATTCTTGTCCTCATAGTAGAAATATACAACCTGGGTCCCGAAGTATTCTTGTGACTTTACCTTCAGTCATTTTATTCAGTACAAAGAACTTACCCTAAATATGCAGTATTTTAAGAATGTACTTGTCTGTCTTACTTCATTCATGTACAGAAGTATACTTAAACACCCCCCCTACTTTTTTTTCTTCTTTTATTTATTTTCGACTTTCATCTACTTTTTCTGGGATTATGATGTTTCAAAGCAAATCAGATATGACAAAAGATCAGTAGGTAGGCAAATGACTTTTAGCAAACATCTTGCAGGCTTTTGTTTGCTGACTTTTTAAAATGCAAATTTCTAGTAAACTGTTCAGAGGAAATAAATTACTTCCTAACTCTTACCCTTTCAACTGAGTTCCCATTCCATGTTCCCAGTCTTTCAGCAAGAGCTGGGAAGCCAAGACTTGATATTCATAATATTTTGGGGAAAAAAAAAAGAAAAAGAGCTAACAATAATCTATTAAAAATATCAAAAGCCCTTGTTATTATCATAATAAATTCTCTTAAAATGAGACCAAAACCAAATAGTGATTACAGTTAGGCCACATTTAGCCAGTTTTATAGTGTTGATTAACTTTACTTTTAAATTACAATAAATAGTACTGCTAAATGTTTTCTGACTGAAAACATTTAAGAGCGAAGCCTATCTGAAAAGGTGATTGCATCGGAGGAGGAAAAATGACTATATAATTAATACTTACTTTCTTTTTAAAACAGGGTACAGTAGGATTTGAAAATCAGATCAACAAATGCCTGGAGCTGGCAGAATATCTCTACACTAAAATCAAAAACAGAGAAGAATTTGAGATGGTTTTTGAAGGGGAGGTAAGTTTTCTTTCATTTAACCTGTCTGTAGCAGCCAAATGTGTATGGAATTCCAAAAACAGTCTTCACACTTCTCACAGTTCTTCAAACCAGCTATGCAAAACTGCTCTTATTTTCTAAAGAACTACATGACTATTGGCATCTGGGCAGTTTTTTTGCCAAATGCATGTGGTTTTGTATCATAAATGTCAGATTTATCTCCTCTCCTTCTCTTCTGCAGAGGACTTCTCAGTTTAGGGCATGAAGACTACCTTAGTACAATCTACTCATGCTGAGATTCCACATTTAACATACGTAACTGAGAATCTGCTATTTTTTCTGTTACTAAAATTAAGAAAACAAAACGTTAGGAGCTATGGAAATTTTTCCGTCAGCATTAGCCACCATGAGTGATCATATTCTTGTCCTCATAGTAGAAATATACAACCTGGGTCCCGAAGTATTCTTGTGACTTTACCTTCAGTCATTTTATTCAGTACAAAGAACTTACCCTAAATATGCAGTATTTTAAGAATGTACTTGTCTGTCTTACTTCATTCATGTACAGAAGTATACTTAAACACCCCCCCTACTTTTTTTTCTTCTTTTATTTATTTTCGACTTTCATCTACTTTTTCTGGGATTATGATGTTTCAAAGCAAATCAGATATGACAAAAGATCAGTAGGTAGGCAAATGACTTTTAGCAAACATCTTGCAGGCTTTTGTTTGCTGACTTTTTAAAATGCAAATTTCTAGTAAACTGTTCAGAGGAAATAAATTACTTCCTAACTCTTACCCTTTCAACTGAGTTCCCATTCCATGTTCCCAGTCTTTCAGCAAGAGCTGGGAAGCCAAGACTTGATATTCATAATATTTTGGGGAAAAAAAAAGAAAAAGAGCTAACAATAATCTATTAAAAATATCAAAAGCCCTTGTTATTATCATAATAAATTCTCTTAAAATGAGACCAAAACCAAATAGTGATTACAGTTAGGCCACATTTAGCCAGTTTTATAGTGTTGATTAACTTTACTTTTAAATTACAATAAATAGTACTGCTAAATGTTTTCTGACTGAAAACATTTAAGAGCGAAGCCTATCTGAAAAGGTGATTGCATCGGAGGAGGAAAAATGACTATATAATTAATACTTACTTTCTTTTTAAAACAGGGTACAGTAGGATTTGAAAATCAGATCAACAAATGCCTGGAGCTGGCAGAATATCTCTACACTAAAATCAAAAACAGAGAAGAATTTGAGATGGTTTTTGAAGGGGAGGTAAGTTTTCTTTCATTTAACCTGTCTGTAGCAGCCAAATGTGTATGGAATTCCAAAAACAGTCTTCACACTTCTCACAGTTCTTCAAACCAGCTATGCAAAACTGCTCTTATTTTCTAAAGAACTACATGACTATTGGCATCTGGGCAGTTTTTTTGCCAAATGCATGTGGTTTTGTATCATAAATGTCAGATTTATCTCCTCTCCTTCTCTTCTGCAGAGGACTTCTCAGTTTAGGGCATGAAGACTACCTTAGTACAATCTACTCATGCTGAGATTCCACATTTAACATACGTAACTGAGAATCTGCTATTTTTTCTGTATCTTCTGTTGCTAGTGCCACTGCGTAAGCTCTTGGTTGATAGAATAACAAATATACTTCATCTCTCCATTTACTAAGAAAAAGAAAATTGGGTTGCCCTTGCTGCAATCCCGGAAAACAGTTCCTCATAAAACTGCATGAGGGTGAAAAGCATTTGCACTTCATTAGCACCCTAAAACTTTGTAAATGGGACAACGTATAGGGAATCTAAGACAGCAGATGCAACCAGCAGTACTGTAATCCATTTATTTTGTTTTAACATGCAGAACTAGGATACTATATTTTGTCTTCCGTGTCTGTGTTAAAATATGCTACTGACTAGCCTTTAGTGTGTGATTGATCTGTATTATTTTGTTTATTGGTGTATGTGTTTGGTTCTTTTTGCAGCCAGAGCATACAAATGTATGTTTTTGGTATATTCCGCCAAGTCTCAGGGGCATGCCAGACTGTGATGAGAGAAGAGAAAAGTTACACAGGGTATGTGGTTTTTGTTGAATGCAAAAATATAGTCGACTCTTTCAACCCGAAGTATTCTGTTTATTAAAAATAATATATCTGTGTTGACACATGTTCCAAAATCTGGGAAGTCAGTTCTCCAATTGCTTATTATGACCTTGATATTTGTTCACCTTTGTCTCCTATTTATACTGGGGCTGAAGTCACGTTTCCCCTGTAGAACTAGTTAACAGAACATACTCAGTTGTTCTTTGTTTTGTATCACTTCTGTGCTCCCAAAAGTGTTATGAATCTTTAAAAAGTAGCTAGGCACAAAGACGTCCCAGTCCTATTTGAATAGGACAGCATATCAGCAAGAGAAACGGAAGGGTAATTATTTGAAAATGCTGGGACAGGTAAAGGACATGGAAACTTGTAAGTCCTTCTCAGGTCTTTATTTTGATTTTAAATGTGCTTGGTTAGCCATGCATTAATGCATTTCAGTGAAAATGAATACCCTTTGGAGAACTTTGGGATAAACTTATTTGAAGAAATGATAGAGGAAAGTGAAGGCATCATAGAGGCACCACCAGGAAAAGTACTGTGTTACTTAGGACTTGAGGGAAGTGAAATACATTAATTTTGTAGTAGCATTTTAGACAGACAGAAGTGGTATGAAATACATTCAGGAGACAAAAGAATGATTTTATAGTTGTCAAAATGAATTGCAATTTTTTTATGTTTGGGAAGGGAGAAGAATGGGCAAACTTGGGAGGTTTTGTAGAGGATTTTATGTCTGCATCACACTGGGGAAAGAGAACAAAAGAGGATAGGAATTCCTGGGTCAACCCAGTGACATGTTAGGTAAAGAAATTGCCAAAAAAGAGAGAAAAGAGGAAGATAGATAAGACTAGGAAGAAGGATTAAATGTTTGACTTGACCCTGTTAAATGATAGAGGACATTATAAAGCATCCTAGAAAACAGTAAAAGAGCCAGACATCTGACCTTGGCTGGCAGAGAGTAGAGCAGGAGAAAGAAATGGCAAAACTGGGCTCAGTCAATACCAGATATTAGGATTGTCAGAACATTATTCCTTGTAAATTAAAGTGAGGAAGTGAGATTGCAGTAAATGCACAGTACTCCAAAACTTCTGGAAGGTTTCCATGGCTTATGCTAACAGAAAATATTCTTTATGACACAGATCTTGTTGAAAAATTTCCATCATTGTGAAGTGAGATTGCAGTAAATGCACAGTACTGCAAAACTTTTCTGGAAGGTCCATGGCTTATGCTAACAGAAAATATTCTTTATGACACAGATCTTGTTGAAAAATTTCCCCCATTGTTCCCCATGAATACTGTAGGATGCTATTAGTCTATTAATCAAAAAGGTGGATATTATTGTTGTCAATTTTCCTTTAAATATCCAATCCTACATATTTAGTTTTTCAAGCTTTTTCACTTACAGATCTTTTTAGAAAAACTAGTGCCTTTCTGATCTGTCCATTTACTTTTCCAAATTAAGAAATGTTGTGACATACAAAGAAAGGGTAAAATTTTTTAATTACTCATGTCTCTCTCTCTTTTTTTTTTTTTTTTTTTAAATTATAAAGGTGGCACCGAAAATCAAAGCACTGATGATGGAGTCAGGTACTACCATGGTTGGATATCAGCCTCAGGGTGATAAAGTCAACTTCTTCCGAATGGTCATCTCAAACCCAGCAGCAACTAAGTCTGACATTGACTTCCTCATTGAGGAAATAGAGAGATTGGGGCAGGAGCTGTAGTACAGCGGTTGAATTATTTATTTCTCTAATTCACTGTTTTCCAGCACTGGCTATTTTTTAACCCAGTTCTGCAGAACATGTTTTAAGGAAATTCTCCTTCTGTAAGTTCCAATCTCCTAAGACATCCTTAAACAAAACAACTATAGGCTACTGAAACATATATGTATTGGTAGATCATATTACTGAGGGAAAATGTATTATCTTGAAGTTGAAGTACTTGACTCTTACATTGGTCTTGTTTATTGTAGTCAGCAGGAAATTAATAAGTACTAAAATAGCAAATTAAGAACTCTGCACAGTATATATGTATATTATAAATAGTTTTTTCAGAAATGCATATATATACATACATATATATATATAAAAAAAATAAAGTGGTTATAAACTTAGATCTAAGCCACAGCATGTTTTTCACTTTAAGAGAATTAACTTTTCCTTCAACAACTAATGATGTGGATAATGTGCTACAGATTTTTCTGCCAGGTAAAAATAGACATATAGAAACATTTCTAAAATGTAGGTTCTTAGGAGCTAAAGAAAATGTGTAACAGTATTAAATCTTATTGTTGGTGCTTCTCTCACATACAAAACAGCAATCTCTAACAGCACCTTCGAGTAAAATAGTTGTATTTCCCCTTTAGTGTCACATCAGGGGATAATAGTAGCAGAGTCATTGTAACAGGTATATTATTGCTGTATTTTTAGAGGTTAATTTGTGTAGATTGTGTATATTATTGTTAAATGACTTTGTGTAAGAGGATTTAAATGTACTAGTTTTACAGCAAGATAACTGTTGAATTGTAGGTATATGAAATATTTGCTTATTTATATGCAGAGATTTACCATGCTGAAGAGTTGTCTTGTATTTTCTTCCATTTGTAATGTATCCTATTTATATATTATTGAAGTTCTAAATAATTTTTATGGTATTTTAGTGTCTTTGTGAGCCAAAGAAAAAATACAAAAATATTAGTTGACACTTTTATTTAAATTCTAGTGCCCTTAAAAGAATAACTTATAGATAATTTTACTGAATATAAGGAATTCTAACATTGTGTATAGACTGGCAAATGATGAGATCCCTTTAATCTATTAGAATTTTCAGTTTTATTTATTGTAATGTCAGACTGTCTGTTCAGTGTTCTGAATGCTTTCCTAGTGAATATTGGTTTGCTAACCAAGGCCCCTGTTTTTGAGTTGTATTTCAGGACTAATCTCTATGACCATTTTAACTAAACTCTGTGGGAAGATTCCTGAAGGTGTATAGCGTTTCTGTGGGAGTTCTAACCAGCATCATTCTTTTAGTGAAATGGAATTCACTATGTGTTTGGAGCTTATAAAATAAACAAAAACAAAAGTAAACTCAGAATCTTTAAATACAGCTGGCTTGTCACAACAGTTTAAACTGGCTAGACTTTTCTGAGTATAGACACCAGAGTCATCTGTAGCTTGTTCAGTTTTAATCACTAGATAATCAATACTACCGAGTGGAAAACTCCATACTGGCAGCAGAGTAGTGGAACAAAATGAAGATTCAATAATCCTCTGTCTGCTGAGTTACTGTCATGGTGATAAATGGAATATGCTAATTTCAAATCTTCTCATACATGCTTCTATGGCTGTCTTCTATGCAAGTCAGTAATTAATTGGTTTTTCTTCTTGTTTTTTTTTCCCCCAAATCAGTAATAAAATTAAATTATTTTAGAAACATTCAGTGAAATGCAGTCATGCTATGCAGTTTTCGCAGCCTCTCTGGCCCCCTCCAGTCCTGTGGAAGGACAGCTACAGCCAGGAGAGATTTCCATCCTGCAGGTCCCACTGGTTGTCTTCTGAGGATACCGTCTCACACCTTTGGCTGGGTCAGAGCAGGGAGAAGGAAGAAGCTGTCATGGTAAATGCCACATCATATAGCACAGCCTTTCCAGCTTTTCGTAGGACTATTGCTTATCCCTCTTCTGTAACCTTCTGTAAAACTTTTTCTTGAAATTATTTGAGTTGAATCTAAAAATTATTATAAATTTGTCACTGTGTCTTAGATTTATGAGTATGACTTTCAAAAGATTATCTACGACGTTACTTTTATGCCATGAAACCCCCCAGTAATCTCACCAGCACAGTATTTCTTTCATTAGGTTATTTTCCTCAAGACAGTGTAGTTGGTTTCTTGCCTTCTTGGTCTTAAACCTCAATCTTCGTTAACTGTAACCCTGATATCTTACCATGTCTTCAATACTTAACATTTCTTGATGTAAACATCCATGCTGTATGATCTGAGGCCTGCAATAGAAGTAGTCAGTGTGAACGTTGACTTCGGTACCAACTTCCATAATATTAAATGCCATTCTTTGTAGATATCAGCTATTCATCAAAACTAGAGGGCATCTCATTGAGAGCTCTTTTTAGAGTACAGAAAGAAGTTTGTTTTGAAGAGGAAGTACATGTCACATTTCGATTTACAGGCTTCTGCCTGAAATCTGGTCTCTGTCACTGTTTTACTTTATTCAAAGGGCAGCTACAGAAGATTGAAAGATTTCCCTCAGTCCTTCTTGTTTATGAGAAACAATATGAACTAGTATAATCAGTGCAAAGTCATATAACTGCTGACCTAGCTTCACTAGGGGATTTTATATCTTGCACACAAGCAGCACCATGGTCCTTGTGATTTCTTCAACCAGTTCTTAGGTGGGAATTTCTGACTTCCTCCACCTCCCTAGTCGAGATATTTCAGCAACAGTATTACTAAAGATCCCAACTTACCCTTAATCCTCTAACCTTAATATTTTAACCTCATGGATCTTGTATCCAGATCATCATCTCAATATTCTAATAATAATTTATTGGATTTGAAATGTTATATCTCCTAGAAGCGTATAAACTAGTTACAGAGAATCATCCTGATGTAACTGATCATGAAACTATAGGAAAGACCATAATATGGCTTACTGGCATTCATACAGCAAACCTTGGACAGTCCTGTGGTGTAGTCAGAAATAGATCTAGATCTCTTCAGCATATATACAATGTTTTGCTCACTAAAATTTCTGCTTCTTCATTTAATAGTGTCTTGTGTTTTGGAGGTCAAAAGCATCAGAGGTTCTACCTATTGCCATTGATGGTTTGCAGCTAGGTGGGAATAACGGAGCTCCTCTTGCCTGTTTCAAAGTGAGACAGTTATCACAGAGGTGTTTAAAGTCCGGGGGTTTAAATTTATCTTCCTACCCTCTGCATTTTATCTTGCTTTTCTGCAGTGTTGTGTCTTGACACAGATGATACCCACAATTAGATTTTTGCAAAGCTTTTAATTCTAATATCAGACTCTGGAGTGTTTCCCTATTACATGTACTGCTTCCACAGGCACAGGGCTCATATTAATTTCCGACTTGGTTAGCTGATTTTAACAGAGCAGTTATGGTCATCAGTGAGAAAACTCATCTGTGTTTTCTTCTCAGTAGGTAATTTTCATCTGAGTAATATGTTACAGCTTCTCAGACAAAAGCTTACCTGGAATTTTCCTGCTTTTTAATCCATACACTATTGACTGTGAGAGATCAGGAAGTATGGCTATACAGAAGTGTTGACTAATTCAAAGCATTGCAATTCCAGGTGAGTAACTTTGTTTTTCTGAGGTTTAAAATATACTCTAAGGTAGCAATTTTGCCTTTAAAATCATATGAACAATCACTGTAATTTTGTGTGGGTGAAATCAGATCAAATGAACAATAGGCAAGATCTTAGCTGAACACGTAGCTGCGGTGCTTATTAACTGAGGTAATTTATTTGGAAAAGACTGACCATTGGATAAAAATCAACAGCAGCTGTTGATTTTGAATGAGAAAAATTCTGATTGTATTATTAAAGGTACTTTTAGAGAAGATAGATTATACCATTCACGACAGACGGACGGAACCCGGGCCTTGGGAATAACCCAGGATTTTAAAATCATTATTGACTTAGTTCATAACCTGTTTTTTGAATGGTGATAAATATGAAGAGATTTTTTAAACAGAATCTCTGTTTTGTGGTTTAAGAAATGTCAAAGTTATAAAGAAGATATGCAATGCAGTTTTAATTTTTCAATAAAAGTCAATCTTAAAACTCTCTAATTTGTCTCATATAATTTTTGTGAGCTCTTTTGTTTCCTTAAGAATATGAGACAAAAGCCATACAACATTATCCCTCACATTAAAAACAGTAAGGTAAATGCTAAGGCTACTATTTAGTTTTAATTGTGAATTGAATGTGAGCTTGTACCAGCACAGACTGAGGAAGAACCCCAAGCTCTGAACCTTGATCAGTTTGAATAGGGTTGGCGAGACATTAGTACTGTGTAGAAATGCTAAAAAATAGAGAATCTAAAAATCTTTCTGTGTGGTGTTTTGTGTGGTTTCTGAAATCCTCATCCAACTTACACAGAGGACCCAAGAAAGTAAACAGGAACTTTGGAATAGGTAAAAAGAGTAAGATCAAGCCCTTGCGGTAAAAGCCCTGCTATTTAATCTGTGGATATATTTATGAAACTTATTTCTTGTAACACAGGTCTTACTCCCAGGAAGACTTGAATACATACCTAACTTTGCACACTTTGCAATGCCACTGGTTGATCTCAGTGTTTGTTTATTAAGCACATTTAAATCTGCACACAGTCAGAACTAGGATATTTTTATGCAGTCAAAAATCTACTTGACTGAAAAAGTACTTTTCTGTATGTAAAGTTGCAGGAAAAATGCAGGACAGGACCAGGCCTAAAGGTGTTTTGGACAGTGTTATGTTTCAGCACTTCTGTGCTTGTCTGGCAAAAAATGATACAGAGGTGGCAAGAGGAGCCACTGTGGAATCAGTACTACAGGGTACCGGGTGCCTGACTGCAAAAGCATTTAAAGTTTGCATAGCAGAAAATCTGTGGGTATTCTTAACAAAGTCAGTTAGAACCGGGTTTCTTTGTTCAGCCACTTTGTATTAAGCAGTATAATGCACAGTCTTTTACAGTAAAAATGTTTCCTTGAAACACAAATAAATGAGATATTGGCAGCTCTATTTTGTGAGTAAAGTAAATATGTTTT